AAATTCTAGAATAATTGAGAGAATTACTAAGTAAAAGTTGGTTGACTCTTACTAGAATCATCCTAATAATTATCTATTGTAATTGTAACTAGAGAATTCTAGAATTATAGGACTAACTTGTGGCTAAAAATACTTTAGATAAGTCGGTTACTGTGCAACCGACTTGTCCAAGTAAATTGACTTAGATAGTCGGTTAACATAAGTATAAATATGCATCCAGCCTACTCAAGTAATTGTCCGCCATTGCTTTTACCTTGTTTCAGATGTTTACTGTTTTCAAGTTGAACATATTTATATCTCTAACGTTTAAATCCTTTCACAGATTTTACTACATATTCAAATAATTTTAAATTCATAAACTTAGAGGCACCGTACGAGTACGACCGAAAACTTAGCAATTATTTTTAGGATAAAATAAAGTAATTTCTAATTATTGCCTTTTGGGAAAAATGAGATAGAAATAGTTTGGATGCACTTATCTTGCAAGTTCCTTAAAGTCAATTTATATAAGAACTATCAAATTTATATGCTAACTATCATTTCATCTAGTGGTAGTGGTACCGGTTCGAATCACATGGCAAGTATGATATGTTTGTTATCAGTTCGATACTTAATTATAGCTAGCTCATTTTCATGGTGTAACTTTGTTGTGAGTATTGCATTTCTTTAGTGATAGTCCAAAGTGATGCTGGTGGGGCAACGCGGCATATGATGGATGATGAAATGTGAAATTTTAAAAACAAATATTAATAAACTTAAAATTCTTAAAAGGTAATTAAAGCAATAGAAATACAACTGGTCATTTTGAATGACATGGCATCATATATAACATACTGAAAACCATCTTACGAAGGATACAAATGGTTCTCATCGTTGAATGCTTTGCGTAGTACTCTATCTAGAAAGGATCCCCGTTTTATTTATTTATTTTAAATAAGGGCATCCTTACTAGAAAATTCTCCACAAACATATATATATACAAGTATACAAGTATTTTAATACCATACCATACTTGTGTCCTCCAAGTTCAGTATGAGGAATTACGTACATGAATGTTGGGTTGCAAGCTTCAATCTTTTGAATAGAAGGGCAAGAATCCTACGCTTGATCCTTCCTCTAGGAGGGACTAGGCAGTATCTCTTGGAGCTCCTTCCTAATCCGACGACTCTCGACACTGCTTCCAACTCTGCGCCGATATGATGCATAGTCTTCATGGTCGTCTTCCTCTCCATCTCCTCGTTACTCTGTACTGCATGCATGTGCCAATGAGATGAGCCTCTGCATGCGTGTGTATCTAGTATTTAGAGAGTGAGAGAGGAAGAGAGAGTTGCATGAGAAGTAGCTTGCGCTAGCTAGAGATATCCAATATTACGTCTTTTTGGGGAGAGTAGGAACCTTCGTCCCACTTTCATTTCATGCACTTTACCTACAACACAGCTTCCGTGTTTTTTGCTCAAAATAGTGATTTTGTTGTTTAGCGAGTAGTGAATTGTGGGGGGTTTACGCTTTAACAATAATGAGAAGTTGCAAGGGTATTGAACAGTGCTGCACCGAAGTCTTGTGTTTGAATTTCCCTTTTGCAATATTGCTTGTGTAAAAAAAAAAAAAAGAATAATCAATAATAACGCTGGGCCTAGGCCCACTGGATTCCAGAATTTTGTTGGATCTTGAGTTTTCAGAGATCTAGAAGAGAGGTTTAAGTGAAATTTTAAGTGAAATTGGACTGTCTACTTTCAAAGTGGACTCACGAGTCACATGGAGTCGGGAGACATAAACACGCTCAAAAGCTATGCTTGACGCCTCATTCTAACAAACTGTTAGTACATTTACATCAGGGGCTGAGTTAAAATTGTAAGGTTAGGTTGCCGAAAATACGAGCATATCAAATACATATTGATTCAAGATTTACATGTTAGTATTAAATATTTTTAACTTAGCCATGTCTAATTTGTTTTAGAGGAGCCATTACGTCTATATTAGAACATGGATTTATAATATATAGTAGATGAGAGATGTCAAAAACCTTGGGGCCAAGGGCACTCTAAGAGTGGCTCCGGGCCACTGGTTTGCATTGAGATTTTATATGAATTGATCTCTGCATTAGTAATAGAAAAAATAAACTGGAATGCATGTAAACAAGAAGCAAAAGAGATGTCAAGCAACAAAGACATTAGCCATTGATTAACGCATGAACAAATTGGTACTAGTCACAGAAAAATTATGAATCAGTTTTATGAGCCCCAAGCAGTCCTTGTTTTACATCAACCAGATTTTCTTCCCTTTTTGCGTCTTCCCAAAGAATTATTTGAACTTTACACATGAAAGCTGATTCGTTCATTGCCTCTGGCGTTGGCTGTTGAAGTTGACGAGCCTCGAAGGTATTAAAAAAATTCGAGATCATAATACGCAATAGACTTCAAAGAATCAAAGAAGCAATGCAAATAGAACTTGAAATATGGATTTTGGCGTTCCCTGCTTGTCTCCGGGATGGGAAGAATCCATATGTGCAGTTATTCCTTTGGTATGATCCCCTTGTCTTCCCTGAAATAAAACTCTTGTTCAAATGAAAATTAAGGCATCATATGAACCTTAAATATGTAATTCCCCTATATTTTTCGGGACAACAACCTGTAATGACTGAAGTTGATAACAAGTCTTCACATAGTAACACATGGTGACTCACATGACAATTAGCAAGCAATCTTGAAAGGAGCAACATGCAGATTTAAGTGCCTAAGTGTGGTTACGCATGCACATGTTGAGTTTTACCTCTACAGCATCCTTGAGAGGCCCCCAGCATTCAATTCTATTGTATTTCTTCAAATTGGAATGAAAATAAACCCGAACCATGGCATCCAATAGCTCAGGATGCTCTCTGAAAAGTAGAGAGTCTCCATGTAACACAGCTTTGAGTACCTGCTTGTATAGAAACCAAAATTAAGGAAATATTTAAGTAACACAGCATTCATTCAACCATCTCAGGCATGCCAAAGTACTTAATAAAGTCAAGCAACATCTCAGACTTGTGGCCGTCTATGGTGTAATATCACTCCTTTCATGATATTTGGTATGAGAATTGCGACCTTACTAAATGGTATCTGTATATCTAACATTATTTGGCTTGTGTTTTCTAATGTGTTGGCTGTGCAACGTATATGACTATGCATGGTGATGGAAGTTTTCATATCATATAGGCCTTTCAGAGTTACCTTCTCAAGCACCTCAGTTTCCCAATTATTCCCTTTTGCAAATAGGATAGGATATCAGAGTACAGTCTTAGAAGAAACGCTTACCAAAGGCATTTCTTTGGAAAATATGTGATATCTGAACTCTGCGGCCAGGTCCAGCATGAGATTGGGACCGCTCACATAGCAATGAATATGTAGGCACATTTCACCATTCACCCGTTTCCATTCTGCAACCACGTCATCCTTGCTGTACCATCCTTTCAACTGCAATCAGGATCAAAATCGCAATCGTAAACACCAAATGGACTATCAGATGCAACCAATCACATTGAAACTTCTTCAATCCTAGCATAGATAGGTATCATAAAAATAAAAAATAAAAACTTTAGAAGCATCAGAAGAAATAAAATAGAAAACAGACCTGATCGAGGTTGATGACATTGGAGATCGTTAAGGTCAGGTTAGCTGTGAAGTCACAATGTGATAGGATGTAAGTTCTTGGGATGATTCCTACATAATTATTGAACTCTTCTCCCATAAATTCAACTTTGAGCTTTGAAGCGTCGAATGTTGCTGGACCCAAAAGACTAACAGCCTGCAAATAAGAATATAAAATGTTCATTTGGCATTTCATGAACTCTAATGTCAAAAGTGAGAGGATGCAGAACAGCTAAGGTGCCATGCGTAACATAAGTATTCAACAATCACACTGTTGAGATCTTATAATATATCCTAAAATGTCATGTGAAGTTTCCCATTGTGCTAGGACAAAATAGTTATCCTGAAAACTCAATGACCCTAGCAGAGCAGAATACTCAAAATCATAGAGAGAACTTTCTACAACAGAGAGGCATTTTCTACAAATTACAACCCAGCTCAATGGAAAGATGCCATATGGGGGCTGCTGGAACTCAAAAGTCTATGAACTTCTCATGAGAATGAAAATATAACAAAATGCCGGTGGCTAAAAGCAACTCCTTGGCTAGGACATAACTCACTTGATTAAATTATCTAAAATTTCAAAATTTTAAACAATCCCTTAACAGATAATCCCTTCATATAACTCAAAGGAGGCAATGCCTAAATAAATATTACAAATTGCATAATGAAGAGATAGAGAAACAAAAAGAGAGGGCAATGCTACCTCAGAAACCAAAGTATTGTAAGAGTCTCTATTGTTGCTGATGGCAGAAAGCAAAAGAGACTTGGGTCTTTTTGATGAGAGAAGAGTAGTGGTCTTGTAGAAGTTCTTCCTCAGTGGTGATAGTGGAAGTACATAAGCACAATGACAGGCCATGGAAGATGCATAACCCTGTTTTGCTCCTCTTCATCTTTCACCTGCAACCATTGTTTTGTTCTCTCTGTGTGGTTGTGAGAGAGAGAGAGAGAGAGAGAGAGAGAGAGAGAGAGAGAAATTAGAGAAGGGGAAAAGAAAGAGAGGAGAATATGTGGAGGATTGTTGTTCATAGCTGGTGGTCATGTGTACTGTGAATTTGTGATATTCTGATTTTCACCTACCGAAAGTCCAAAATCTATGAAAAGCCCCTTCCACCGCATATTTTTCTTTCCTTCTTTTTTCTTTATTTTATTGAACTGGTTTATTTTTAAAAAGAGAACTGTCCAACTTTGTGACACGTCACCAGCGGCTTGAACTTTTGATTTAACCAGTGTGGATAATGTGGTTGCGTGGCTTTGGATGGGTGCCACATGCATCCACACGATGTACCCATCTATCCCCTAATGTGATTATTTGACGTTTGTTGATCCATATAATACCCAGCAGACACCTCTCTCTCTCTCTCTCTCTCTCTCTCTCTCTCCCTTATAATAAACTGCTATCAGAATACTTCTGCGAGCATAATCATAGGGTGAATGGTTGTTATTTAACCTGCGGTTGCAGACTTAGGGTGAATGGTTGGTTGAAGACTGCAGACGTGAGTTCAAAACTCAAGTTAAGTATGGTATCTACTCTAACTTGCATTGCATTAAACTAATTCAACTTAGATAGTGATTAGGTCTTTAAAATCAAATTAAATATTAAGTACAGTAAAACAAATTCAATAAAAAGGGAAAAACTTGAAATTTAAATTAACTAAGAAAATTGAGCATTCATGATTGGCCCAAGTTTGGCTTCAGCCTGTAAGTTTTCTTTACATTGCTTGTGTTTTCATCAATAACATTAATTTTAACGTTGGATTCTGTTGCATTTTGTTTGTGTCAAGACCCTTATAAATATAGTTTTCTGATGATTATGAGTCTTAATAAATGTGGGGAATATGAACCCACAGAAGAGGAGAGATGCATCTAACATGAAGCAACCAAAACAAGAAGATGAAACCACTCTGCATGAATAGGAAACCAAAACAACTCTGGATGAGAATTTGCTGATGTGGGAGTTGACATGTAGTGCGCTGGGCAAAGGTGAAAGAAATGTGTTTACATGAATTTTTTTAATTATTTAATGATCACGAATCAAGATACTCAATTATTTGCATGTCTAAGTATTTTTATTAGCCTTTAAATTTAGTTTCTCGTAATATTATTGGGTTTTGCAGAAAGAAGCCAAGGTGAGAAAAGCTGCTAGGAAGATGAAAATGGCTGCCTCCTGCCTGGAAGCATGAAAAGGCCAAACAGAAAAGCCCCAAGAAGGACCACAAACCGAAAGCATGGCGGAGGGAGGATTTACAGATGGTAGAAAGAATAACTATAATGTTAGAAGATATTGCACGCAGCTCATGACATCTTGTTTTTTGTTGAACAATTTGGAGAAGAAAGGACATGATCATATATGTAGCTATCAAACATTGCAATTTTAATTAATACATGGAGAGGAAAGAATATGTCGAAATCATTTGTTATTTGCCTTTTCTTTTCGGGCTAGAATATTTATGGCCCGCACAACATATGATATTTTATGGGTGTTGTTAAATAAACTTTAAAATTAACTTAGTACAACTTACGATCTCAGTACATCATAATATTTAAATTAAAATGTAAAATTAATTAAATACACCCTATTTAACTATATAAAAAAATAAAAATAAAAACTCTTGATACCTTTAAGCAAATAGTGTACACTTAAGCAAAAACCCAATATTAAGATGCAAAAGTAATACTCATATTTAGTCCAAACTCGCTTCACCTAAGAGCATCCATAATGGTGAGGGTCATTTCACTTTTATTTCAATAAATTGAACTTTTGATTTGCAGTGGTAAAGTTCAGTTCATTTTAGAGATCAATATTTCATTTCAGGGATCAATAGTTCATTTCATAGGTTAATAAAATGAACTATGAAATTAAATTCATTAAGCTGGCCCACCATAATTACTTTACAATCTCTCTCTTACTGACACATGAACAACATTGATTTGTAATTTATAAGCTATTGAACTATACCACTGCAAGTAAAATTGCACTTCAATTCAATAGCCGTCAAAAATATTCAATAAATTGAACTATTGAACTAAACTGTTTAGTAATCATTGCGGATACTCTAATGCCTTGGAACCGAATGTAAATACGTTTTGCGATGGCTCAATCTCAGCCGTTGTTGAGCACAAGGCTGTGTCGGCTTATTATGCATGCACGGTTGAGATTGCATCATGACGCAATCACAGTGGGGTACCTTTTTGATAAGGTGGCCCCAAGGCCCACGTTCTCATTAGTTTGGTCAATTTCATCTCAAAAGTGACTTCGCATGTGTCGGTGCTAAAACGAATTATAAGCTACATGGATTGCAATGGAATCAGATTTTATTTTGTCAATTTATTGTCACAAAGAGTCCCACCGCATTCCTCTTTGCTTAAAACTATTGGTTCAATATATATCCTTCATCCTTCCCATGTCGTGCCAACATAAAATATAATTAATTTGAAAAAAGGTGATTTATTTTATTTTATTTTTTTCATACAAGCAATATTAGAGAATAAAAAATGTTATTTGTACCATATTTATTATATAAATTTATTTAATTTTTCTTTTACTTCCATTTGGTTGGGAAAAGGAAACATATTGAAATGAATTTATATATTTTTTTATTTTTCTATAAAAAATAGAAAAAATTATGGTAGATCACCGCCCTCCTATCTATGAATCTGCTTGCTTGGACTTTACTGGCTCATTGGTTTACAACTTAACCTTAGCTGGAGTGGAGATTGCAGATTGCAGATCCCATAAAAAGGTTATAGAAATAGAAGTAGATCTCTCTCTCTCTCTCTGAGATAATTTTCATTCTTTAATAAATGCAATGCAATATGCAAATTTATGCTAAATACATTGATCTCTCTCTCTCTCTCTCTCTCTGAGATATTTTTATAAAGACCCACTGACTGACCCAACCAAGCTCTCTCTTCAAGTAGGAGGCAATTAGTACTATGGTGTAAGCAAGAGGAGGACCCGACACTTCTCCCAGCCACTGAGCCAAGTAAGAAAAATCTCACTCTCTGTCTCAGATACTCTACCCCTTTCCATTATTTGATCAGATCTTTGTTTTCTTGCTTGACCGAAGTACTCTTTTGTTTAATGAATCAATGCCAAGGGACCTCCAAGTTTCTATCTTTTACATATTCCCAGCATGTAGTTGTTTCAGTTCTCATTTATTTCCCTGCACTTTCGCACCAACCAAACAGTGCATTGTTCTTATTATTGAGCCCCCACTCTCGTTTTCTGTTTGTTGGGTTTATTGCGTTATGAAATGGGTTATAATCACTTTTTGTAAAAACATGTTTTTGAGGATATTCTTGTTGTGTTATGGAATTCAACAGAAAAAAGTTGATCTTTTACTCTGAAATTTCTTTGTTCTTTGTTAATTGATCTATCTGCTTTCTTTACCCTATTCTATGATCCAATTTGCTATTACTTGTCAATCTACTTGAGGAAAAGGTATCACCTTCGTTATGCCCAGAGAAAAACTATCAGAGCCGTAATTTGACATGATACACGCTACCACTACTACTCTTGTATATCAAAATTAGCAAGGATGCCCTTTTTCATATATATTCTTTTAGCAGTGCAAGGCCTGTCGGTTCCTTTATTCATTCAAAAACAGTTTTTTTTATTTATATATTACTCTTTTTGCGTTTGTGATTAAAGTCATTAAGATAAAAATAAGTGCAAAATTATGTTGCCACATGAGGGTTCAAACACTTTTTCCTTAACAATTTCCAGAAAACAAGCTTGAAGATTCAAACATTATGGATAGCTGAGTTTGTTTTGTTATTGCCCTTGTCAGGTGTGTTTACTATTTGGGATATCAGTTTTCACCTCATAAAGATGGCTGTAGGGAAGTATTCTCGAGTTGACGGAAGGAGGTCATTGAATTGTTGTTCGACGACCAGTCTAGTTGTATTTGTTGCATTTTGTTTAGTTGGAGTCTGGATGTTAATGTCAACGGTTGTTCCAATTCAGAATCAAGACTCATCATCTGAGGAGACCGTAAATGAGGTAAAACGGCAAACGACAACTGATAAAGATCCCAAGCAATTCGAAGACAGTTCAGGTGAATTACCAGAAACTGTAATAAAAAGGGATGACAATGGCAATGACTTACAGAGTGAAAGCCATTTGGATATTAAGAATGCTCAGAATGTTGCAGAGGATGTTTCTGTAAATACAACTGAAGAAAAACAGGAAGAATTGGTTTCAAAGGAGGAATCTGAGGTGAAGACTGAGCCAGAAAGTGAGAATGGTGTTGAGGGAAATCAGCAAGAGAAGCTTGTAGAGGAGAAATCTGATGAGAAACTTGAGACTGAAGAGCAAACAAAGACAGAGGCTGAAAATGATGGGGATGGGAAAACAAATGATCATGAAGCTAGTTCAGGAGATGGGGAGTCCAATTCAGAAGCTGGAAATACATCTGACTTCCAAGAAGGGGAGAAAAAATTGGAGGGAGACGAGACTTCTGATGGAATAAAGCAGGAAGATGAAGTGACTATTCAGATTGAGAAGGAAAATGTTGAGAAATATCAAGACATTCATTCAGAAGAAAGTGATAGTAATAACATAGAAAGCCAGGAAACTACAGCTGAAAATGAGCAAGGGTCAACTGAAATCGTGGAGTCGCAGAATGAGAAAGAAACACAACAATCTTCCTTATCTGAACATAAGAGTGGGCATGAGTGGAAGTGGAAACTCTGTGATGTCACTGCTGGGCCAGACTACATCCCTTGTCTTGACAATTGGGGTTCTATCAGGAAGCTTCCAAGTACAATGCACTATGAACATCGAGAGAGGCACTGCCCTGATGAAGCCCCCACCTGTCTTGTTCCTCTTCCAGAAGGATATAAACGGTCCATTCAGTGGCCTACAAGCAGGGAAAAGGTATATCAGCTGTTTAGTAAAACAATAACAATTACCTCTTTTTAATCCTTGCAATTGAAATATGTTCTTGGTGCATGATGCAGATATGGTACCACAATGTACCTCACACCAAGCTCGCAGTAGTTAAAGGGCACCAAAATTGGGTTAAAGTTACCGGTGAATACCTCACATTTCCTGGTGGTGGAACTCAGTTTAAGAATGGTGCTCTTCATTACATTGATTTTATCCAAAAAGTAAGTCCTATTGTTATATCATCTTATTTTCCAGATCCTGTCATACATTGGTTTGCCAAAATATATTTTCAGAAATTTTATGGGAAGGGAATATCATTTCTGATTCCACTTACAGCACCAAGTAATAGTTATATTGACGTAGGGTGATAAGGATATTACATTGTGCATGAGACATAATGTGTCGTACCAATTGATCAGTGATTCAGGATGCACCTGTGTTCATTCAAACTTGTTCCTATTAGTATTTGTATTGTAGGCATAGGGACAGTTTTGAGGGTTTGGTTAATGGCTTTGTGCTGAATGTGAACTATTTTATCCTTGTTTTTCCTGTATGCAGGACTGGGAATGTGTCTATGTGATTCTGTGTGGGTGTGCTCTAGTCCTTTATACAATTTTGAAATTATATTTTCTTTATACAATTACCAAATAGTGGGTTTGAATTATGGGATGCAGTTCCATCTGATTTCATCTCTTCATTCATGCAACTTGTCCATTTCATTGTATTCATTTTGCCATGCTTCATGTGAAGTCCTGTTCTTTAGGAAGCAATATATTTGTATGACCTTGATTATATTTGTCTAAACATATTCAATTGTGCCTCACTTGATCTTATATGTTTATTTTCTTTTGTGGTTCCTTTTGTAAGAAAACTCTAGTATTCAGCATTACTATCTTACTGGTCTGGAGTTTCAGTCTAATTATTAAAAAAAGCATTATTTTTTGGTGAAACTTTTGTGTTTTTTTTTCCGATGCTAAAAATGTATATTTCATTTTTGCTATGCAGTCTCTTCCTGATATTGCATGGGGTAAAAGAAGCCGTGTGATATTAGATGTTGGGTGTGGTGTAGCCAGCTTCGGAGGTTTTCTATTTGATAGAGATGTTCTTGCTATGTCATTTGCCCCCAAGGATGAGCACGAAGCCCAAGTACAATTTGCACTAGAACGGGGAATCCCCGCCATATCAGCTGTTATGGGTACCAAAAGACTACCCTTTCCAAGTTCTGTATATGATCTTGTCCACTGTGCACGCTGTAGAGTCCCTTGGCATAT